TTCTCTAATGGCACGGTTCAATAGAACCACGGTGGGTGGTTGCCAGGTGCTCTGGTGTGGTTTGCTCCTTCTTTCATATAAAACATCTTTCGCCCTTATCTTTCCTCCTTTTTTGTGTTTGCTACTCTCTTGTAACACATCTTACCTTCGGCACTTCTATGACCTAATTGTGTTACAAGTGCCGTAAAACTTTTACTAAAACAATAGAACCTCTTGTTTAGGGGACCTCTTTTTTCCTGGACAAAGGGTGGTCGTCTTAGACGTGTTCAACTCCGTGTTGCAATGTCAATGTTGTTATCTTACATCATCGTCTTCTATTTTTGAGTTATAAAAAAATATGATACCTACAGTTACACTAACCATCCATGTTGTTCTGACGCTTGGCTCTATTACTGCGGGTGGTTGGAGGGTGACACTGGTACATTTTACTTCTCTACTCTCCTTCTGATGTGTCTGTTTGTCTGTATGTCTGTTTCCCAGCACTAGATGGCCATCGTTGTCTCCGTGTGCCTTTCTTTATTAACACATGTAAACGTGAATGGTTGGAGGGTGCACTGGTGTGGTTTGCTCCATCTTTTCTATCAAATATCTATTGTCCTAATCTCTCATCCCCTCATGTTTATATTTGTCACTCTCTTGTAATACCCCTATTCTTTGGCATTTATATGACCTAATTGCATTGCAAGTTCAGTAAAACTCTTCCTAAAACAAAATGAACCCACGCTCTATCGAGAACATCTCTATCGAAAAAATCTCACGCGAAACCAAGTAGCATTCCAACACCTTGTAGAAAATCATAACATACCGAGTTACAGCCTTCTAGCCCAGCAGACGCCCCATTTCCCAGTGAGGTCACCGGCTTGTTGTCCAGGTTGTCAATACAGCGGGCCAGACCGGAGGCACAGGTGATATTGTTCCGTTAAACAGACAAACTGGCAAACTGACGGCAACTGCCTTCACTTCAGCATCTTCAGCGGTGGCCAGTGGCATCCTGAGTTGTCCGCCAAACTCAGACATATTATTTGTCCGCGGGGAAACACCGTAACTACATGAGATATGAAACTGAGGATGAATGGTCTGCTTAGGTGATATGATTCTTTGCTGGGTCTATCTATCTATCTATCTAGCTGTGTATTTATCTATCTATCCGTCTGTTTTTCTGTCTGTCTGTCTGTCTGTCTGACTGTATGTCTGTCTGTCTGTCAG